TCACTTAACGCGATTTCACTTAAACGACCCTGGGTTCTATTGTCCCCGTTAAGTGGGGTACAACTGTATATATATATATATATATATATATATATATATATATATATATATATATATATATATATATATATATATATATATATATATATATATATATATATATATATATATATATGTATATATATATATATATATATGATAACCAAGGAAAGAAGAAAACACGAAGTTCCCAAGTGCTTGTAATTCACATCTTCAGGTGAGTACAGACTAAGGAGAAGTACAAAAACAAGGTCTATATATATATATATATATATATATATATATATATATATATATATATATATATATATATATATATATATATATATATATATATATATATATATATATATATATATATATATATATATATATATATATATATATATATATATATATATATATATATATATATATATATATATATATATATATATATATATATACAGAGGAGGTGAGATCAAGTCCACAATGGTCAGGTATTAGGTAATGACCCTACTAATCTTCAAAAGCACCAAGAGCAGTCGGTAGTCAGGTCAGCGGGTAAGCTTACCCAACCTTCTCACCTGGTTACAAATCTTCTTAATTACGAAATTATCCAGTTTGTACATGACATTATTCAAATTCATGTTGACTGATTCGGTATGTTTAATGAGACTAGATTCTATAATGTTCCTACTGTCAATTGAATTACAAGGTAATATTGAGGAGGCATTATCCTAGTCAATGCAATGCTTATTATCCCTCAAATGAACAAACAGAGCATTGGATTCCTGGCATATCGACATCAACTGTGTCGACAATTCTTGCTGAAAGACAAATTTAAAGAAGTGAAAGTGAGAGACAAATCTACCAGTGTTTAAAAGTAGATCCCTAATTGCAGAAACTGAGAGGTTACTTCTCATCTGGATTAGGGAAAAACAGATGAAAGGTGATTCAGTTTCTACTGAATTCATTTGTGAAAAGTCAGGGAGATTCACGAACATTTAAAGACAGATCAACCTGGTTCTTCAGGCACAGAATTTGAAGATTTTCGGGCCAGCAAAGGCTGGTTCGAAAAATTTTAGAAAAGAAGTGACATTTTCAGTGTTGTTAGGCATGGTGAGGCTGCTAGTGCTGATAAGGAAGGGGCAGCAAAGTTTTTAGTGGAATTTAAAGAACTGATGGAAGAAGAAAATTATCTTCCACAGCAAGTGTTCAATGTGGACGAAACTGGGCTGTTCTGAAAAAAGATGCCCAAAAGAACATTCATCACCAAACATGAAGCCTCTTTACCTGGGCATAAACCCATGAAAGACCGTCTCACTCTATTGCTTGGTGCCAATGCTTCAGGGGATTTCCTACTGAAGCCTATGCTTGTCTACCACTCTGAAAACCCCAGGGTGTTCAAGCAACAGAAAGTGGTGAGAACAAAGCTTGAAGTTTATTGGAAGTCCAACCGTAAGGCATGGGTGACAAGACAGCTCTTTAATGAATGGGCTGTTGATGTGTTTTGCCCTTCTGTCAAGAGCTACCTAACCACCAATAAACTCCCTTTAAAGGCTCTTCTCCTCATGGATAATGCTCCTGGTCATGACCCTGAACTTGCCAGAACTTTGGAGTATCAATTTGACATTGTGAAAGTGTTGTTTTTGCCTCCCAACACGACATCAATCATACAGCCAATGGACCAGAATGTGATCAGCGACTTCAAGAAGTTGTACATGAAGAAAATGTTGAGGAGGTGTCATCAGGCAACTTCCAATGATCCTGAACTAACACTGAAACAGTTTTGGAAGACACAATTCAACATCCTGGAGGCTGTAAAATTGATTGTGTCATCATGGCAAGAAGTCTCCACTAGATCCCTCAATTCTTCATGGAAAGCTCTGTGGCCATCAGTAGTCCATGATTTTGAGGGATTTGAGGAAGAAACAGAGTTGGACCAGGAGATTGTGTCCATTGGTCAGTCATTGGGCCTTGAAGTGGAAGAGGATGATGTCGAAGAGCTTGTGATGTCTCATGAGGAGGAACTTACTCCTGATGACTTGAAGCAGCTGGATGAGATGTTAGAGGCTGACAGTGGTGAGGAGGAAATTGAAAGTGATGACCATATGTCAACTGAAGAGTTTAAGATGTTCTTTACTACTGGGAGAAGTTCAGGAAACTGGCTTCAAAGCACCCAGATGTGGAAAAAACTGAACTTACTTTGTGTCATGTTGAGGACTCAGTGGTCTCCTTCTTTAAGCATAACTTAATGATGAGGAGGAGAGATGCCCCACAGACCACAATTGACACTTTCTTCAGTAAAAGGCAGAGGGAACAAGATGCTATCCCTCAGCCTTCCACTTCAAGAAGGAGAGAGGATGTTCATGGTGGAGAAAATGTCAGTCCAGAGTTTCCTGACATTTTCATGGAAGGTGAGTCACCTTCCAAGAAGCAGTAAAATGTTTCTCCTCCACCTCCACTTCCTTCTCTTCTCCCTTCTCCTCCTCCATCTCCACTTCCTTCTCTTCTCCCTTCTCCTCCTCCACCTCCACTTCCTTCTCTTCTCCCTTCTCCTCCTCCACCTCCACTTCCTTCTCTTCTCCCTTCTCCTCCTCCACCTCCACTTCCTTCTCTTCTCCCTTCTCCTCCTCCACCTCCACTTCCTTCTCTTCTCCCTTCTCCTCCTCCACCTCCACTTCCCTTCTCCTCCCTTCTCCTCCTCCACCTCCCACTTCCTTCTCTTCTCCTTCTCCTCCTCCCCTCCCACTTCCTTCTCTTCTCCCTTCTCCTCCTCCACCTCCCACTTCTTCTCTTCTCCCTTCTCCTCCTCCCACTTCTCCCCTTCTCCTCCTCCGCCTCCACTTCCTTCTCTTCTCCCTTCTCCTCCTCCACCTCCACTTCCTTCTCTTCTCCCTTCTCCTCCTCCACCTCCACCTCCACTTCCTTCTCTTCTCCCTTCTCCTCCTCCACTTCCTTCTCTTCTCCTTTCTCCTCCACCTACCACTTCAAATTCACATTAGCATCATTACCCAGGAGCCTTCTACATGCACACCTCAAGGTAAGTGTCAATTTCTAAAAATTTTTGTTGAATTTAGGCAATTTTCGGTGAGCTGGAACCAATTGTCCAAAAACCCATTAAAACAATGGTTTCGGTTAACGAGCAACCTGCTGGAACGGATTGTGCTCGTTAACCGAGGGACCACTGTATATACCTGTATATTTTGTTTGACTACACATGAGAGAGAACCGAGATCCCTCACTCTGCCCTCCCCCACTTAGTGTAAAGTGTGAATTCTTATTACCTACACAAAGAAAGTTTGTTTCCTATTATGTTTTTTACTTTACGATAAGTTTGTTTTTGCACATTCTGTATGTATGATTGTGTGGACATGTAATTGAGTAAAAAAGAAACAAAAAAAGCCCTATATTTCTAAGAAATTTCGAATTTAAAAATTATCATGTCACCTCACAGCCCGATAAGGTTAGCCTACCGCGAGCATGGCCCCGATAGCTTTTGTTCACTATAGATGCACATTAAATTTGAAGCTCCACTACCGTAAAACTGTTTGGACCATCAGAGGTTCCCGACCAGTGATTGCCGGAAATTCAGTGGTTAACCTATATGATTAAAAAGCAAGATGTTGAAGCTAATATTTGCTTCATCTGCTTTTGATTGAATGAAGTCATGCATGATGTTAGTTATCACTGTCACTAAAATCTCCATAATTTGGAATAAGGCAAATTATGAATTATGATCAGTTGTGTGTAACACTTCTGATAAAGTTGACACACTTTACTGTACATAGTTGTATTCTTTTATACAGTACTGTACAGTAAAGTGTCTGTCAACAGAAAAGTTTGGTACCAAGAGCTAGGCTTCCATTAAGTGGATATTGTACACAATGGATACTATCATGAACAGCTGTCCTAGGAAAGCATGTAATAAACCAGACTACTTGTGTGAGTTTGGTTATATTATTAGTTTCTGCAAATACATATAAACTAAATTAAATAACTTTTTCCAACACTAAAATTTTTATTGAGTTTACAAAGAAACTTTCAATGTCATCATTCTCCTTCAATCACCATATCATGGGTGGATCCAGGAATATCAAAAGGAGAGAGTCTAAGAAGTTGTGGGTGAGAGAACATGGTGATCACAGCCAGCCCACCTAGCTGGGAGAGGGGGGTGGAAGGCCCCCCCCACGTTTTTTTTTCCTTTTTTAATCTGACTAATTTCATGGGTATTTTGAGGCCATGTGCACTTGATATTAGGAAATATTCTGAGGTCAATAGTAATTACTTTTTACTATACAGAAATGCTTGAGTACAATACAGTACTGTATTAAAGAAAAATTATTGTAATTTTCTGATGAAAAGGGGGGTTCCGGACCCCCAAGATCCTCCCTGGATCTGCCCCTACTTATAACGCCTTAAATTCATGTGAAGGCAAGTACTGTTGAATCATTGCACACCTCACACCATCATTTACACAGTCACTCAACCAGTTGCTTGATTTTCCTCTTTCTCCCCCTACTATTTTTCATGCAATATCTGGAAAATTAAGGCAAGAAATTATTCTAAGTTCTTGAATTTTACAGCATTGTAATGTACAATAAAAGTATAGAGTTGTGAGGGAAATTTTGGAATTAAATAAAGGTTGAGAGATGTGGAGACTGCCAGTAATACATGACAGAGGAATGGAGCAATCAAGTGTAACAACTGGCTCTAAGGCATCAAATGCCATGCCCTTTTAAATTTTGAAGTCAGTGCTGTGAATTTTCAGTTTTTCGCGAAACTTCTTAACTTTATCAAAAGCATCAGTCCAGAAATGGGTATTCCTTCATTTCTTCATGGCTCAAATAATTCATATACTACAGTAGCACTTTATCCAGGCTGATGCACGTAGGTTAAGTGAGATTTGTTCTTTGAGCAGTAGATTCCTGTGACTCCCCATCACTATAAAATTCTAAATATTGACTTTTCTTTCACAGATTTGTGATATTCTCATCAGGCCAACGGAACAAGCTTTTTAACAAGACCTGAAGCATAAAACTGTGGCCTGGGTATGCAATTTACTTTCCAGTTGGCCCTGAGGGTAATGTAGTTGCAGCGCAGCTAGTAAGGCAAGATGAGGTTAACAGTACAGTATCATGTTGGTAAAGTTCACTAGTATTGAAATTAGTTTTACTCCATTTGTAATTTTTTGAAATTGTTTATTATTTGTTACTTTACTAATTAAAGGAATCAATATTCTGTTACTTTAACATTTAGTTTTTCTTCTTGTTCCTACTGTTGTAGTATTGTACAGATTATCTTGGGGTTTGTGGAAAAACAAATTGAGATTACTATAAATTGTCACTTCTGTCTGAAAATTTTTAATTATCCTATCTCTTAACCCTTTGGCTATTTTTTCCATGCGCAGAGATCATAAATTTTCACAACTTGCATTATTACAGTATTGTACATGTACAGTAAACTCCCTCTAACCCGGACTTTCCTATCCAGATCCCCTTGCAAACTAGACACATGTATCCCCAACTTGGAAAAATGCAACCATAATCAGGTTAGTACAGTACTGTATGGGTAAAAGTTTGTGGAAGCCACAGGAGGGTAACTCAACAGCTGCCTCCGAGGATGCAGTAGAAATGTCTTAAGAAATATGAATAGTGTATACAGTACATACTGTATAGTCACTGATATTAGCAGTGAAAATATAACTTCCGCTCCACCTCATCACCTCAAGATTCAATCGCCTTATGATATGTTAATAATAAGTACAGTACTGTACTTTATTATTAACATGTATTTTGTGCTTCTATTTTTCATCAATAGACAATTATAGTGCAGTAATAATGTAAACCAAAACAAACACTCTTCTACTCTGTATGATTCTCTTGTCATTCTCCTATTATATCAGGCTGCGGCCATGAGTGAAAATATTTACGGCAAGTGAAAAAATTTATAACTTTTATCCATAGAATCTGTTCTAATTGTGTTTGAAAGTTGAATTCGATATCATAATGATACTGAGTAAATTTTGTACAAGATCTTATCTAAAAAATATCAATCAACAAAATATTTCTGTATGATATACGAAATGATGTGAGCTTAATTCTTTTATGAAAACAAAAATTTTTTTATACTGTATTATAGAAGAGCAAGGGGTGACCTAATTGAAGTTTATAAACATCTCAGAGGGCACTACTCGGTTAAGTATCCTTACCTGGAGTTGGCAGATGCCAAGCCCACAAGGGGTCACAACTCACGGTTGAAGAAGCCACAAGTCCAGAAAATTGTGAGGGCAAATTTTTTCGGAATGAGAGTTGTGAACTCTTGGAACAACCTGCCAGAGAGTGTTGTGACGGCACCAAGTGTGAGCTCTTTCAAGACCAGTCTTGATTTTTTTTTTTTTTTTTACACGGGAATTAGCCCATCCGGGCACAGGTCAAACGACCCACAATGGAGCCTGGGGGCGAAAAAAAAAGAATGGAAAGAAATTGAAAATATAGAAAAAAAAGGTTATACAGTTGGTCCTCATATTACGCGGTCCCGCATTCCGCGTTTCACCGTTAACGCGGTGCCTTGCCAGAACCTAACATTTTCACATTCCGCGGTCGTGAACCCCATTACGTGGAGAGCGGCTGGCAAGCCGCGCCATTTTTGGATCCAAACCTCCCGCCATCCGCCATGTTGTGTAAGAGGCGCGAAAATGGTGCGCACAAGGTCGCCCAGTCATCAAAACATGACCAGTTCTTCACCCGCCACCCACTACAGCCGGCCCAAGTCAGTGATAGTGATAATTATAGTGAGGATATGGACTTATATGAACTTTGGGGGGTTTGACAAAGAGGCCCTGCAAGCCTCTGTGGTGGATAGTGATACAATTGATACAAGTGATACAGGTGAGGGCCAATAATCTGCCCTCTGCCTCGGAACCAACCGCCCATCCCCGTGTGCCCAGCCATCTTTTCTACTAATGTAAGTGTTAAAAAACCTAATATTATTGATATTTCTTAATTATTAATTGTGTGTGCATGCCATCATAAAGTTAAGATAATATTTTTACTACAACATAGTTGTGTGTCGTCAAAAAGTGGAGTTTGGGGATCGGCCCGGACTCCATTTCAATTAATCCCATATGTTATGTTATTCACTTTACGCGTTTCTCACTTTCCGCGGTACCCTCCGGGTTACATTAACCGCGTAATATGAGGACCAACTGTACTGTATTAATCTACACCACGAAGATGCCGGAAAACCAGCTTTTTAAAGTGAGATAGATTGTAAGAGAATGGAAACAGAAGAAGGCAGAGCATTCCACAGTTTGGTTGTGTGAGGAAAGAAGGAGGTACTATAACGGGTTATTCTAGTGTGATCGACATCCACAGAGAAACGGTGGGCACCGCGGGCAAGACGTGTGTTACAAACCCACGGACTTGCCGGCGGTACACAGGATGCCAAATCCACTGAACTTTGCCCGTTAAAGTACCTGTAAAAGAGAGAGAGTGAAGCAACATTGCGGCGAAGAGAAGGGGGAGAGTTAATAAGACGAAATGCCTTTGATTCCACCCTATCTAATAGTTGGACAGAAGAAGAGCCACCCCAGATATGAGAGCAGTACTCCAAGTTAGGACGAATGAATCCCTTATATACTTGGAGCAACTGCTCAGGAGTGAAATAGCTGCGGCATCTGTACAGCAATCCCAACTTTCGGGAGGCAGCTTTAGTTATACTAAGGATGTGTGATTTCCTGGACATATTGGAGGAAATGGTGAGACCTAACATATTTATTTCAGAATTTGGGAGGATGATAGCATCCTGAAATGTAATTGGCACAGGTACAGGTACAGATACATTCTAGAGCCAGTACATGCTCAGTACTTGCCAACAGTGTGTAATAGAGATGTGACTAACGAGCTGTACCATAAAGTAGATGTCAGAGATTATATGCTTTTTTGTGTGTGTGATTAAAGAGGTGTGTAAAGTAATTTTGCTTCCAGGTTTATGTATACAGTCATGTGAAATTGCTTCATGCGCATTTGTTTCCAGCAAAATTATAGCCACAAGAAAATTATCTTGGATTTGGAACCTAATGTGCTTGATTACTTTAGTATATTCAGAATAATTAAAAAATCAGCATGAAAAATTACAAGACACACGTACAGTAATTAGGGTTGTAACACGATTGAAAAATTTCCAAGAGTAGATAGGATACGTAATTCCTACAATTTCTACTTTATGGCCCCAGATCCTTAATTAGTATGTTGAGGAGTACTGTACCTTATTGAGATATGAAGTCACACACACACACACACACACACACACACACACACACACACTACATCCTTGACCACCGAAGGGTCAAGACGTACCTGGCGCTCCTCTCGGAGCGGCCAGGTCAACTGTTAAGTTGGCCCATACCAACCCCCTCCCCTGAACCACTTCTCCCCACCGGAATATCAACAAGTTCTCGCCAGAAGTTACAATTTCATTTAGGAAAAGAATGGAACCAGTGTTAAACAGAGGTGAACATTGGTGAACAGTGTTTAAGTCAGTGAGAAAAACTCAACAGTAACAGTCATACTCAAGTTAACCTTCACACAATGAGGTCCCAGGTACCCAGTAATAACGGCCTGTGAGACCCAACAACCAGCGATGTGTTAATCCGTCTACGATAGGAAGGCCTGGGGCCACACCTCACTCATATAACACCATCTGTGAGGGAATTACTACACCACGTCAAGGCCCCTCATAACACCATCTGTGAGGGAATTACTACACCACGTGATGCCCCTCATAACACCATCTGTGAGGGAGTTACTACACCACGTGAGGCCCCTCGTAACACCATCTATGAGGGAATTACTACACCACGTGAGGCCCCTCATAACACCATCTGTGAGGGAATTACTACACATGAGGCCCCTCATAACACCATCTGTGAGGGAATTACTACACCACATCAGGTCCTTCATAACACCATCTGAGGGAACTACTACACCACATAGGTCCCTCCTAACACCATCTGGGAGAGAGTTACTACACTACGTGTTTGCTGTTCAACACCTACATTAATCTGAATGTTCACTGTATGTTCCTTTACCTTTCTCTAATGAAGGCTTTTGTTAAACAACCAATGTATGTAATAAGTCATTTATGTCCAATGTATATTTTCAGCCTTCGGGCTGCAGAACTTTTTCAATAAACCATTAATTATTATTATTATTATTATTATTATTATTATTATTATTATTATTATTATTACACACACTCCGTAACTTTATTTCCTCTGACTGTCAATTAAGTTTTATATCAGTGTATCCTGTGTTAAGATGTGCCAATGTATACTTCTGATAGGATGTATACATTTATTTTGAAGTGACAAAATTTCACTCTAGATAATAGGTACACTATTGTATAATGGCTGTCATTCATATCAAAGTCACTGACTTTCTGATGGTGTAATACAAGTACTGTACAGGTAAGAAGAAAAATTTATATGCTAGATTCTCTAGAAATTTATGTCATACATAACTTGGACAAGTAATCATCACACCAAACTTCCTCTAAAACTTACAGGAAACTGTATCAAAATCTCTTTAATTTTTTGCTAATTATAACACTTGGACAAGCAACTTCCATCTCATTAAAATTCTATTGACATTACACAAAACCAGGACGTGTAAGTTTAGTCTAATGAATTTTTTTGTCTACATTTTGCACAATACTGTACTAAGAATTACTATAGGTCTACTTCACCAATACATCTCTAATCATTTTACACACAAAGTCGTCCAGACAGTTATTTGTCTCAGGGTCTCTCAGTTGACACATACCAGGACAATTAATAAACGGAGCTTTGATTGAGATCCGAACGTCAATAAATCCTGGTGTAGGAAGAGTGGATGGCACAGGGGAAAGAGGGGTTGTCAACTGGAAGGAATCGTCTGGTATTGGGAATGTTTGATTAAGCGTGGGAAGGAATGAGATTGGCATTTGGCTACTGGGTATCTGTGGCTTTAGGGTTGTGTGCTCTGAAAGGAACTCATCTATTAAGGGTCTTGGGGTTGCAGAAGTCAGGACAAAGGGAGGTGGAAGTGTTTGTGGTACTGAAGTCTCTGGAGCATCTAGTGGTCGAGGGGGAGGAGTGCTAGTTGGGAAAATGATTATGTTGTGGGTATCATTTGTAAGAACGCGAGTCATGTGGGTTTGGTCTATGAAGTTGGGAAACAAGCCGATTCTTGGAATGAGGTCTTTTTCCTGTGCCATTGTCAGACTGCGGAAAGGTTGGATGGGTTGATGAGAAGAAGAGGGCACCAGCTGGGATGGTTGAGAGGAGGGATAGGGTGGTGGTTGGGATGGTTGAGAGGAGGGAAGGAGTGGTGGTTGGGATGGTTGAGAGGAGGGAAGGAGTGGTGGTTGAGAAGGTCGAGGAGATGGATGTAAGGAAACCAACAAATCCCTGAAAGACACATTCAATGAAGTTCCTGGTCCGACATTAAAGGTAATTTGGGGAAAATGTGGTCTTGAGTGAATTGCTTCTGTTTTCGTGGGAAGAGGTTGGGGTTGTCTAGGAGCTACATTTCCAACATTGCCATCTTGAAAGAAATTCCTACCTGAGTTTTCCTGCTGGTTGTATCTAACGAGAGATGAGATAGGTATTCCAACATTTTCTAATGATCCTCTAAGGTATGACATCAACTCTGGGGTGTTAGGGACAGGTACTGTAATAAATAGAGTCTGGAACAAAGAAGAAGAAACTGGCTGCGATGGTGACTGTGGATCCAGGGAAGTGTTCTTTTTCTGTTGTCGCAAGACCAAGGGTGTGATCAGAGCCCTTAAGGGGTTTAGTTGCTGTAAGTGTGTGGTCTTCTGGCCCAGTAGATGATCCTGTGAGTGTGTGGCCTCCTGACCCAGTAGATGATCCTGTGATTGTGTGGTCTCCTGACCCAGTAGATGATCCTGTGATTGTGTGGTCTCCTGACCCAGTAGATGATCCTGTGATTGTGTGGTCTCCTGACCCAGTAGATGATCCTGTGATTGTGTGGTCTTCTGGCCCAGTAGATGATCCCCTCCTGACCCAGTAGATGATCCTGTGATTGTGTGGTCTCCTGACCCAGTAGATGATCCTGTGATTGTGTGGTCTCCTGACCCAGTAGATGATCCTGTGATTGTGTGGTCTCCTGACCCAGTAGATGATCCTGTGATTGTGTGGTCTCCTGACCCAGTAGATGATCCTGTGATTGTGTGGTCTCCTGACCCAGTAGATGATCCTGTGATTGTGTGGTCTCCTGAGTAGATGATCCTGTGATGTGTGGTCTCCTGGTCCAGTAGATGATCCTGTGAGTGTGTGGTCTCCTGACCCAGTAGATGATCCTGTGAGTGTGTGGTCTCGACCCAGTAGATGATCCCAGGATTAACTCTGACCCAGTAGATGATCCTGTGATTGTGTGGTCTCCTGACCCAGTAGATGATCCTGTGATTTGTGTGGTCTCCTGACCCAGTAGATGATCCCAGATGTGATCCTGTGGTGTGTGGTCTCCTGACCCAGTGAGATCCTGACGTGGTCTCTGACCCAGTAGATGATCCTGTGATTGTGTGTCTCCTGACCCAGTAGATGATCCTGTGATTGTGTGGTCTCCTGGTCCAGTAGATGATCCTGTGATTGTGTGGTCTCCCTGGTCCAGTAGATGATCCCAGAGTGTGTGGTCCTGGTCCAGTAGATGATCCCAGAGTGTGTGGCCCCTGTCCAGTAGGATGATCCTGTGGAGGTGGTCTCCTGACCCAGTAGATGATCCCAGGAGTGTGTGGTCTCCCACCCAGTAGATGATCCTGTGGAGGTGTGGGTCTCCCTGGTCCAGTAGATGATCCTGTGAGTGTGTGGTCTTCTGGCCCAGTAGATGATCCTGTGAGTGTGTGGCCTCCTGACCCAGTAGATGATCCTGTGATTGTGTGGTCTCCTGACCCAGTAGATGATCCTGTGATTGTGTGGTCTCCTGACCCAGTAGATGATCCTGTGATTGTGTGGTCTCCTGACCCAGTAGATGATCCTGTGATTGTGTGGTCTTCTGGCCCAGTAGATGATCCTGTGAGTGTGTGGCCTCCTGACCCAGTAGATGATCCTGTGATTGTGTGGTCTCCTGGCCCAGTAGATGATCCTGTGACCCAGTAGATGATCCTGTGATTGTGTCTCCTGACCCAGTAGATGATCCTGTGATTGTGTGGGTCTCCTGACCCAGTAGATGATCCTGTGATTGTGTGGTCTCCTGGTCCAGTAGATGATCCTGTGATTGTGTGGTCTCCTGGCCCAGTAGATGATCCTGTGAGTGTGTGGTCTCCTGGTCCAGTAGATGATCCTGTGAGTGTGTGGTCTCCTGACCCAGTAGATGATCCTGTGATTGTGTGGTCTCCTGACCCAGTAGATGATCCTGTGAGTGTGTGGTCTCCTGACCCAGTAGATGATCCTGTGATTGTGTGGTCTCCTGGTCCAGTAGATGATCCTGTGATTGTGTGGTCTCCTGGTCCAGTAGATGATCCTGTGATTGTGTGGTCTCCTGACCCAGTAGATGATCCTGTGAGTGTGTGGTCTCCTGGTCCAGTAGATGATCCTGTGATTGTGTGGTCTCCTGGCCCAGTAGATGATCCTGTGAGTGTGTGGTCTCCTGGTCCAGTAGATGATCCTGTGAGTGTGTGGTCTCCTGGCCCAGTAGATGATCCTGTGAGTGTGTGGTCTCCTGGCCCAGTAGATGATCCTGTGAGTGTGTGGTCTCCTGGTCCGACAGGTGACGTTCTAAGGGTTGATTCCGGAGGATGGTATCCCTTGTTGCCCTCGAAGCCTTTCTCATGTCATAGAAGTCATGTTGATAACTTCCCCGGGAGACGTGAGTCCTTGGCTTGTGTCTGTGACTGTCTGGGAAGATTGAAAACAAAATAGTAGAGGATTAACAAAAATATTCAGTCCAGCTAGGTCAGGTCAGGTCAGTATTATGGTAGTTAATCTTAAGGTGAAATAAGCTGGAAGAGGAAAGGGGCTAATTTCAATATTATCCATAAATTGTCTTTCAGTTAATATTTTTGATGCTTGAAAACAGTACACAAACAGATCGTTACAAGAAAGAACTGTAGGAAACAAAATCCCATCATCACTATAATAAAAATAGCAGAATAGCTCAGATTTCGTTTCCAGTTATTTAGATTAGTTAGGCTTCGTTAAATTAATTGGGTTGGGTTAGTTTACGTTAGTTGAACAAGATTAGGTTAGTTTAGGCTAGTTATGACTTCGCTTAAGTTAGGTATGGACAGTAAGGTTAGTTCATTTAGGTTAGGAGAGGTTAGTTTAGTTGGGTTAGGGTTGTTGAGATTTTGGTTAAGTTTGGCCAGGTTAGGTTAGACTAGGTGAGGATAAGTTTGGATAGGTTAAGTTAGGTTAAATTTGGTTAGGTTAGGTTGGATTGTGTTAAGTTTGGTCAGATTAGGTAAGGTTAAGTTAGGGTTGTGGGTTTTCGTCGTACAACTTCAAAATTAAAATTATTTGATAAGTTTTACTGAATAATGTACGATTAATTAAGAAAATTACCTTAATGGTTATTCAACAAAACACCAGGATGGTTAATTATAAAAATAACCAGAATGGCTAATTAACAAAATAACTTGGATTTTTAATAAACAAAATCACCTGGATGCTTATTTAACAAAATTACTTGGATGGTTAATTAACCAAATCACCTGGAAACTGGTGCGTCTTCGAGCTGCCATCGGAAGGAGACGTTGACAAAGGTGCGCGATTCTTTGGGTCGCCCTCAAGGGATGCCGTGTTTTGTTCCTGAAGGTGGAGGGCCGTGGTGGAGTGTATCCAGGAGGATGTGGAGGCGCCCCTCACCACCACAGCCTCACACCACAGCACCAGCAACAGAGTGGTGGTCCCAAATCTTGCCCGCGGATGCATGTATCTGTTGGAGGAGCTGCGAGGTGGTTTATATAATGTGGTTCCAGGTGAGTGGAGTGACTACGAATATACAGTATGAGTAAATAGTTCAATGAGAGAGAAAATATTTTATACAGGTATACCATTTCCTCTGCTATTTCCACTTGCATGTGCGTTGAATAAAAAAATGCCCTCCCTGTCTTCGTCAACACTAAGTTGTTGTTGTTGTTGTTGTTTTTTTTTTTTTTTTGTACATGTACTATACAGTACATTTCTCAAGTACACTGGAGTTTACCAGTCACAGAAGGAACCCTACCTGGAACAGGGAGTCATAAAAAAAGAGAGGGTTGCTGTATTGATTTCATCCCAGCTTGAAGTAAGTTTTTTGACCTGGTGTGTTGTGTTGTGTTACCTCACACCTTGTTCCACCTGCTGATGACATCACCATGGTGCAATTACTCGCCCTCCCTCCCTTATGATGCGCTGCCAAGGGACTTCTCTACTGCACAGCCTTTTTATGTCTGTATGGCTTCCAATGTCGTGTTTTTTAATTTGTCTGTCTGTCTGAACTTTGATATATATTAGTCATTGGCAGGTAGTAGGCAGCTAGCAAACAGGCAGGTACTATCGCCTGAGAAGATATTGAAAGCATAATGTCTAATGGTAGACCCTGTTGCCATATGGCATCACAAAAATTGTGACCAAGTCCCAGGTTGCTGATCTGACTTTGTCTCATTTACAATTGCAGTATTTCAATTGTTTCTCTTACTTTGACAACACAACATACATATGTTGTTTCTCACTATTGATTTTTTCATTTCTTTATGGTTTTTTATCATTATTATTATTACTGTAGTGTTATTATTATTATGGTTATCACTATTATTTTATTTTTAATTTTGTATTTTTATTAATTTTATTTTATATGAATTATATTTATTATTATTATTATTATTATTATTATTATTATTACTATTATTATTTATTATTTATTATTTATTATTAATTATTATTATTATTATTATTATTATTATTATTATTATTATTATTGTAGTGGAATTCTCCCCTACAACTGCGTAGCAGCCCACCACCAAGCGTATCCGCATTCCAATGTGCCGCCTCCCCTAGCAACCAAGCGAGAGCTGTCCCCAGATGTTACCGTATCTTAGCAACGAAACTAGTCACCGGCTACTTCTCGGGTTTTCCCAACATGACTCATAGAGGACTGGCGGCTGCTGCCGGGTGTATATAAGCTCTGTCTCTCCATTGAGATTCATTCTGACCATTCTTCCTGAACAAGCAACATCTCCAGCAAGCTCCACGCTGTTAACATTTCATTCAACCAGGAGGCCAGCAACAGGCAACACCTTCTCTAACGAAGCTCCTGCACATCTACCTCCTTCAACACGATACTCCCGAACGTCTTCTACTGAGCTGCTCCCCACCACACGGCATCTCCAGCACCAGACTGTCTATCATATAACTTATATATATTATATAAGAAAACCACATTAGAGTTTCCTTCCATCCTGAGTGCTAGACAACATTAATATCTCGATACCCCTACATTATTATTATTACTATTACTATATTATTACTATTATTATATTATTACTATTATTATATTATTACTATTATTATATTATTATTCCTCCCCAAGGCCCTGATGTGGGTCAGTGACCTGTGCCTGGGTGGGCTAATCCCCATAAAAAAATAAATAAATAAATAAAATAAATAAAAATAAATAAATAATGCTCCCGCGAACAACTCAGTGGCCACACCATCACTTGGCTCCGGTTTCGTCAACCAGATCAACGCTCCTCAGAGAAGCAGCATTCCACCAAACTAACGCCCCCTCAGGATCACACTAGCGAGTGGGGAAGAGATATGGCAGGTTATTTGGCAGGCAAAAAACTTGGCAAGGAGCGAGGCATTTCGGGATGTATTCATTCACCCAGACCGCACGGTAATGCAGAGGGAACAGCACAAGAAGCTCCTGCAGGACTTGAAGCAGAAGAGGGTGGCGTCAAGGAAGGACGGGGAAGGGTGTACATGGGTTATACTCAGGGGGAGGGTAGTGGAAGCAAGTGTGCCGACACAGGGCCAGGGGGCAGCAGTGCACCCTCCACCCGCTCTAACCCCCACCCGGGAGGCGGCACCAGCTCCGCCTACCGGACAGGAGGAGGCGAGTGCCGTGTAAACAATGACATTTCTAACCACACCCTGCAAAATACAGTGAGCTTAGCAAATGCTGGAACTTCTGAGAATGGGGGGGGGGGAGCGGGTTTACTACTAAGAGCAGAGACGTTACCAAGAACAAATTCTGGCTTGAATGTCATGTACACTAATACTGACACGTTTCTCGATAAGAGAGAGGAGTTTGAAACACTACTAAGGGTACACCAACCAGATATTGTAGGAGTTGTAGAACTGTTGTACAAGAACAGGAGAATCGACCCAGAGGAATGTGAGTTCAGTATTGCTGGATATGACTCATTTACGAACCTTTCTCAAGAAACTTGCAAGAGGGGTGTGGTTATCTATGCTAGGCAAAACCTTAGGGAGAGATAGGCGAGGGTACAGGTAGAGGATGTTTTTGAAGAGTCCAAGTGGCGTAAAATTAAATTAAAGGGAAGGGACTTACTTATTGTCAGGTGTATCTACAGATCCCCAAACTGTGGCCCACTAAATCAAAGGAACTTAAGAGCCTTAATAGACAATGCGGCAATGCTCAACTCTAGCCACCTCCTTATCATGGAGGACTTTAACTATGGCGACATCGACTCGAGAAACGAAGTCACCCCAAATGACTTGAATAACCATGCTACTCTTTTTTGTAGAAACTGAGTGATAATTTTCTGTTCCAACATGTTAGAGACCCAACACATTACAGAGGGCAGCAAACACCCAAGCCACTTGACCTCATCAAACAAACGAGGAGGGTATGGTGGCCAAACTGGAACACCTTGCCCCAGTTGGCACCAGTCACCATATTGTGTTGTCATTCAGATTTAACTGTTACCTAGTTCAGCATAAGGCCAGGCCAAGGTGCAAATATTACAAGGGAAATTACAATGGAATAATGGAAGAGATGAGTGGTATCAACTGGCCTGACTGATTAAGGTACAAGAATGCAGACATAATGCTGAATATCATAACTTGTAAAGTGATCCATTTGATCGATAAATATATACCGAAGACCAAACCCAGTGCTTCTAGGAATACGAGGGGATCCCTACACATGAACCATGCAGCGGTCGACAGAATTAAGAAGAAAACCCAAGAAATTCAAGACGTGGGTTCGGTCAAACGATGAGCAAGACAGGAGGATGTATGCAAGAGCCAGAAACCAAGCAAAGATAGAGTGTAGAAGGGCTGAAAAGGAGTTCCAGAGGCTGGTTGCAAGCGAGGTCAAGTCAAACCGAAAGGCGTTTTACCGCTATGCAAAGTCGAAATTGAAAACGCGAGTAGGAGTACCAGACCTGAGGCTTGAGGATGGTAGTTATGCAGATTCTGACCAGGATAAAGCCGATGCATTGAACAGCTTCTTTTCCTCGGTGTTCACAAGAGAGTATGCAACTAACCTTCCTGCGTTTGAGGACAGACGGTTCGACACAGCACTGACCCACGTTGTGTTCACAGAAGAGGGTATTAGAAATAAACTGTCCAGGCTAAAGGTCCATAAGAGTCCCGGCCCTGACATGGTGCATCCTAGAGTGCTAAGAGAGTTGTGCAACGAGCTTGCAGAGCCCCTGAAGATCCTATTTTGTAAATGCCTGGATGAACAAATGGTCCCCAGTGAAAGGAAAGTGGCTTATGTGAGTCCTATCTTCAAGAAGGGCGATCGTCACTCCACGAACAACTATAGACCGGTGAGCCTGACCAGCATAATATGTAAAGCACTTGAGAGTATTATCAGAGATGCCGCAATGGAACATCTAATTTGAAACAAACTTGTAAAGGATTACCAACACGGTTTAAGCCGGGGCGCTCCTGCTTAACACAATTGCTCAAGGTATTGGATATTTGGACCCATATTCTGGAATGGGGTGGTAATATCGACAATATTTACCTAGATTTTGCCAAGGCTTTCGACAGTGTACCCCATGAAAGGCTGAAAATCAAACTGGAAGGGTACGGAATTCAGGGAAATGCCCTAGCGTGGATAGAAGACTTTCTACATGACCGCAAGCAGTGTGTGGTGATTAATGGCACGAAATTGTCATCTGTACCTGTAACAAGTGGGGTACCACAGGGCAGTGTATTGGGTCCGCTGTTGTTTGTTTGTTTCATAAATGACATGCCTGACGTTATACACTCCTCCATACAAATGTTTGCCGATGACGCCAAGATATTTCGGGAAATTAAGAACCAAGCGGATTGTGAAGAGCTGCAGAAGGACCTCTGTGGGGTCCAGGAATGGTAGAAGAAATGGCTGCTGAGATTCAATGTCACGAAGTGAAAGAGGATGCTCCTGGGGCATACCAACGGTAAGGAGGCGTATCATATGTCCCAACGGGATGAAGAAACTGCACTGGTTGAGACTGAATGTGAGAAGGACCTAGGTGTGTATGTTGACAATGAGCTGAAGTTATCGGGGAATTGCGAGAAGAAGGTAAACCAGGCAAATAAATTATTGGGCCTCATAAGAAGGTCGTTCAGATATCTAGACGGTCCGTGCTTCGTAACGATTTTAAAGAGTGAAGTGCTTCCCCATCTGAAGTACTGTCACCCCGTCTGGTCCCCGAGATATGCTAGGGACTGTCAGTTGGTTGAAAATCCTCAAAGGAGGGCCACCAGACTGATGCCTGCACTTCGGCACCTCAGCTACCCTGAGAGATTGGAGCGCCTGAACTTGCCTAGCTTATACTACAGACGGGCAAGAGGTGACCTAGTTGAGGTGTATAAGCATCTCAAGGGGCACTACTCAGTTGAGTCTCCTTACTTGGAGCTGGCGGACGCTCGCCCCACAAGGGGTCACAGCTCAAGATTGAAGAAGACGCAAGTCCAGAAAACTGTGAGGGCAAACTTTTTCGG